TAGCGATAATCAGATTATCATTGGTCATCTCAACTCGATTGCTTTTCTCACTTTCGCCGTACCGGCTCAAGCGAGAAAATCAATCTCCTTGAGATAACCAACGATAATCTATAATTTTAGGACTTAATAATGTTTAAAACTATGTACAATCTGCAGGTATAAAGAAGGTATGATATAAAAAGTAGTCTTGAGATACTATCTGATCTCAAATGTAAACTTGTTTCCATTAAATGATATAAAACTTCAACGCCTTTTCTTTTCATACTAGCATGGTTTTACAATACCGGTCATGACTGGATTTTCATATAATATTTTATAAATATTTGATATCAAATATTGATAAATATAAAGAAGTTAAGGCGCGGTAAGACTCCTTTTTGGCCCCAACATATAGCATCTTTACAAATTTGTTAGAAATGTAAACTTTTAGCTATTTATTGAAAAGTAGAATACTTTTGTTGCATAAACATGGGCTGATACTATTAGTATGTTCACACTTCTGATTTTTGTCAATTGCATTGCACACTTAAGGCTGTAAAGTGTCATTCGCAGCAGCTTATTTAATTTACTTTTTAAATGATTGCATTTAAAACCTACATTATCTTTTTAATCTTAATAAAAGGATAAAAAGGATAAAAGTATATGCAGCAACCTAAAGATATTTGCTGATTATGTATTGCTAGCTTAGTATCCATAATAAAATATTTCATACATATTTAGGATAAGCTGTCAACGTATATTTGTTCCGCCTAACAGAAGTTCCACTGGAAACTTTGTTATAAACAATGTCATAATATCTGTTTCCGTTTGAACAAATATTCTATACCATTAACTCCGTTGGGAACATTTACTGTAATATTTATTTCAGTGGAAATAATATTCTAGAATATTGTTTCCATTTGGAACTTATATCATGAAGGAACTTCTATTCCGTGACAGAGCAACCCCAAGAAACAAAGAACAAAAACTAATTCTCCTTCAGAAAGTTTTTTGGTGGCAGTGATTAAAACTGAAAATTAAGCATTGTCTGTTAATATAAATCCAAATCATTTACTTTCAAAGAAAGCAATAAATATTTCCTTGGTGTATTCATATTTGTAAAAAATATAAGACTATACACTAAAAATTATTCTCCTTGACTGCTATGTAATGATTAACACTTTTTAACATAGTTGATTTTTGATAAGAAAATGATTTTTATAAACCAATTACCAAAAAAGACAAAGAAAACTGACATAGGTAAAAGCTCATTTGATGCACTTTGGCAAAAACATTTACTAATCTGCTAATATTCATATTTGATTATTTTGTGGTTTTGCTTAAGTCTGTATATATGCCTAAAGAAAATTTGTACTTTTCTGAACATTTAAATTCCTGGTTCACACATACTCACAAAAACCACAAAAATTGTTAACCCACAATTAATAATGAATCCGCTGTAGTCAAGAAACATGTATTGTACAAATGAAAATGGTAGATATATCATTTGTTATTTTTTATTAACTTTTTTTTACAAGGTATTGTTAATTTACCTATCAAGTAAGCATTGAATCACTTCTCCATATACAAATCATATTTTACCTTGAGCACAACAACTACTGCATGTTTTAAAGAACTTTTCTCATGTGTGGCTGCTATCATCAGATGTGGGTACCAGAAGAAAAATAACCGTAGTAAACCTACTGTCAAGAAGTATAGAATCCACATGCAGATTTCTTTACCTTTGTTCTTAGCATACCCGTAAATTTCCTGTCAAAATTGAAAGAAATGCAGGTGTAAGTTCACGAAAAAGCCAAAACTGGTTAGGAAAACCCACAAAAAGTTGGATTATCCTTGTTCTAGAAGAATTCAAGATTTTGTCTCAATACATAACTGTAGTCTCCTGATTTTTAAGGATTCTACTACAATATATATCATATTTGTTTTTCCTTTGTTGTCTGTACATAATTCAGACTGTTGGGTTTCTTATTTGAATTATTTTGCTATGTCAGGGCCTTTTATAACTTCTGATTGGCAATTACATGTCTACCACATCTCCTAACTTTATAATGAGAACAAAATCCACTACTAACAAATAGCTTTTCTCTTCATTCATTGACTGTATAGCACCATAATTTTGTTATGAGCCAAAAGACTTGCCCAGAAACAGTCAAAAGTCAATTAATGCTATCATTATGTAACCTTATATTACATTACCTACCCGGTTACTTAATTACTCAACTGGATTTGATTGTCTTAAAAAAATAATTTCAATTGTTGAGGCAATTTTTGAAAAATTTGGAGAACATCTGGTTATTAATTTGCACAAAAATTATAAAATTCATACTTTCCTGATTTCATAAGAATTTTCTCAGAATTCATCACTTTTAAAAGGTTACTATACAGTGGCGGATCCAGGGGGTTCTGGGGATTGGAACCCCCGCCTTTTTTTTGACAATCAATGCTTTTGAATGGGGACATACGGTTGGAACCCCCCTTTATTCTGGGTTGACCCTCCTTTTTAAAATGGCTGGATCCGCCCCTGCTATATTGAGTAGTGATAAAACTTGCACAGTGAGTTTTAAGGATTTGAACTACAGAATGACAATTGTTTAAAATGTTTTGTTTACTATATAAGGAAATTTAAGGTGACATTTATTTTATGTTGAAAAATATTTCTGGCTAAATGTATGGTTTTTTTCTAGTTAATTTGCAAAATTTAACATTAAGTTACCGAAAGGTAGCCTCAATGTTATTTGTGTGGTTAAATTGTCTCCCTTAGTGGAAATCTTTCACTGGCAATATGGCAGCTTCCAGTGATGAAAAGCAGACGCGTCTGTTCGGTCCGATTTTTCTAATCTTGGAGGTTGTTGTGGACAATCAAAGCACTATACAACTCATCTGTTAAACAAAGTTTATCTTTGTAAAAAGGACACAACCACCACCTTGAATTTATCCACAGCACTGTGGGCAGTGAGGCCTGTTTATCAAACTTTCCTCATGTTCAAGGCATGACATAGTGGCGAGGTATATAATTATGTGATACAATGAACATATATACATGTATATGGAAAAAGGCATTTATTTCTAATGCATGTAGATATGTGATATATGCAACACGCACAACCACCATCTAATTACGAGCTGTAATTTACCAGAAATGAGTCATTAAATATAAAAAAAACAACCTGCACTACATGTATATATGGTCAAGATACAAAAATTTGTAAATTATAAATTTCTATTGAAGCAAGGACATACCGGCGGTACTACATGTAAAAACCAACCTACAATATATTCCTTAGTTGGAAAGGGCACACATAAATGTAGTGAGGTTAAACTTGTTTTGTTTTTGTCACTAAAATCTCAATTCCCCTTTTATTTGTCTGAAATGAAAGCACAAAATCTAGATTTTTATAGTGATAGGGTGTGAGTTTCTCACTTGAAGTTGTATGACGTTTTACATGTAGTCTTGATATTTATTCTGCTTACTGACTTTAATAATGTCTCCATCATGTCCATGTATTCGAATGAGGCATGCCTTTTGTAAATAAATTAGTTTTAACCTTTAATTTGATAAAACAGATTTGTCTATTATAATTTATTCACTGACATTATGCCGTAGAACAACAGGTTTATAAATTGATTGGTTGTTCATACCTGAAACATTGTTCATCTGGACATTGATATGATCGTGTTTTATTGATGTTTTTAGTGTGTATGGTACCATTGAAATCAGTCATGTGTCCGTTTAGGCTTAACTCATCAGATTGACACAAAGCATAAATTCATCTAACAAAATCAGAGATTGGATGTGGCAGGGTTCTTATACATCCCCATATAGTTAATTTACAGGGGCAATTGAAAGGCATTTTGAAAATTTTAAACTGATTGTAAAATGTACAGAGATACATTTAGTGGGAAGGGGTGGAGGTTAGGAAATCATGAGATGACCAGTGGTAAAATTTTTAACCATTACCAAAAAAGTGGTAATGTCAAAAATATTACTGTAAATTCTGAAATTATTGCGATGTTTTTTTATTGTGAAAAATGCGACAGGGTTATAATCGCACTAATTTAAACATGTTAAACTCGCATTTTGCAATTTACTATATGAATTAAACAGGATTTTTCTGAATATTGCAAAAATTAAATACGCATTTCAGTCTAAAATTACATTACAAAATCGCAGTTATTAATGCACGCAATAATTTCTGAATTTACAGTACTGGGTATAGCTTTGTATTAGTTTTATCATGGACTTGGATTCAATCAAGGACCTCATATTAGAGTTTCCTAATTAACATTTATAGTTAGGTCATTATGACCTACATTTTCACTTAAGTGACACTAGATATAGTCATGAAACATGTAGTATAGCTATGATATTTGACCAGTGGATAGGTTTTAGGTAGAGCAATAGGGTAAATGATAAAAATTAGGTCAACTTGACCTACATTTTCCACATGAGTGACATGGTTAAGTTTTTTGCATTAAGGTCAACATCTCGGGTACAAAATTGTATAGCTTTGTGATACTTAACCAGTGTATTGATTTTGGATAGTCCAACATGATTCACTTTTATAAACGTAATGTTGACCTACATTTTCCACTTGAGCAACTTTGTTAATTTTGTGTGTTTAGGTCTCTCTGTAATAGACATGGTATTACATTGATACTTGACTATAGCTAGTGGATAGATATCTTGGGTAGTACAACATGGTTACTATTGATAAGGTCACTTTGGCCTACAATTTCTGCATGAATGGTTTGGTTAAGTTTTTGCATTAAGACATTGAGGTTTTATCAGATATACTAGATGTGGCAAAGCAATGATTTTACTCCACCAGTTGAGATATCTTATATATTTTTTTTTTCATTGGGTCCCAACCAAAACGATTTCATAGTTATCTCATATATCATGGACATTATATATTTGAGAATTCTTTTATCTTTAATTTAATAAGGGATATATTATTTTTTTAAAGTACATTTGTAGATTTATTTTTTTATCTTTTTAGATGGAGATGAAAGCCAAATTAAAGATGCTCAGCTTCTCATAGGAGTATATTCACAGCATCAACTAATTGTTCATAATATTAAGCATCAGATTAGGAAACAGATATCATTTCTGACCGGGAGAAACTCAACAGAGGCTTGCATTTTCTTTGAAATGGAAAGTATCCATCATTTAGGAACCAATTGAATCTGGCATGGGATGATGTATCAAAAAGTACAATGGCTTTTTCTACAAAATATCATCAGAAATTATTGATTTGATTTTGAACTATATTGTACCTGCACAATACAAGTCGATAAAGTGTTCTGATCTGTAGTAGAAAAGAGGAAAACAGACAAAACAGTCAATATTACAACAGGATGTTTTGACTGAAGCTCTTGTTGATGCATACTTACTAACTTAGACCTGAATAGTCATCCGACCTGGCTTCAGATCTTATTACTGTTTGCATGTATTCAGACCGTTTTGCATGTTTCCCTTTATTGCAGACTTCGCTAATATTATATGACAGTAAAATTATAAGCAAACAGCCTGAATAATTATATAACCATTTTAATGAAAATGTCTGCACCACAGTTGAACCATATATCTGTATATTTGTTTTTATTCATGTAGGTATAAAATAAATTTTATTTCCATTTGAAATATTTTTGTTTGTCTGTGGTAGTAATAGGCTAACTACATCTTACATGTCTTATTCACATGCCTCAAGTTATTGGAGATTACATTCTATGAGGAAACTTAACATTGTTGTTTTGTCGACTGTTTCCCCAGAAGCTACATAGAGATCACTATCTGTCATTCATGTCAGCGTCACAAAATTTAAGTAACACTTTTCTCAGCATCTGCTTGATATTTGACAAAAAGCTTATAAAGATTAATTCCAATATAAAACAATGGACCCCCTTTTCTAGGTAAGAAGCACCCAGGCTCAATTTTTATATGTTTATGTAATATCATCTAATACAACATGTATTTAAATATCAAGACTAAACAAAAGTGGCCATATCCATTTTAGACAACAAACGTCTAAAATTAGCACAAATGCTAAAATTGTGAAGATTTCAGAAATTTTACATAAATTAATGATGATAGTACCTGTTGACTGTTCATAGTATTGTAGAAAAACAGCCCATTAAAAAATGATTTTAAATAAACTGAAGTATTCTACTTTTGAAAAGTGACTCCAATAAGTAGCGATAAGTTAATACATGTATTTTTAATAAACAAATTGTAAAAATGCTAAATTGTGGAGCTTAAAAGGGGTCTTACCAGGCTTACTTCTGTAGTATATTTTCAATTAAAACTAAGTTAAACTGAGTTTAATCAAACAAGATAAGCAATAAACATTATATCTGTCATTATTTTCTTATATTTTTACTATCACATACATTTGTAAAGTTTCTCTTGTAACCAATAAAAAATTCATAAATACGGCAAAATTGCCATCTTGTCCATCTTAAATTGTTATTTTATCGTAAGAAGGTATCATTTTCTTGCATTTTGTAGATACATATATAAGCTTTATGCTGTATTACATTTTATTAAAAACAAAACCTGATCTTACAAGATTCAGGTCTTTAAAAAAGAAAAATTTTGCTGAATCGGCACTTTTTCAAAACCATGAAATATCAACCTGCCAGTAGGGGTATTGAGAAATGTCAAAACTTTGAAAACTATCCTAATTTTCTTTTATTTTAAGTTGTTTGTTAAGGTATTAGTTATCATTTAGCTGCAACTTTTCTATAATAATACAAAAAACCAGGTCAAAATACCCTAAAATAGGCTAAAAATGGCCTTTTGTTAGTACAGAAATGGACAATTATCGAATGTTCTGCATACACAAATAATGGCTGAATATTTTTTCAAAATATTTTGCACAAACAGTAATTACATATAAGGTATCAAAAAGGCAAAATATCAGTCTGATCGGATAATTTTGGATTCGGACCATTTTGCATGGTTTTACCACAGACTGGCTCTTAAGCATTTAAAATGTTATAAACTAAAAGCTTTCAATCTTTTAAACATAAAAGTGTACTTTTATATAAGTAGGTATATAGTTAATTTGATTTAAACGACCTTGTCCAACTTCTTATCACTACCTTTGATTACATAACTTTAGATCTAACAGGTATTTGGGTGAATTAGACATTAAAACAGATTTGGTCTCTTGTGGATAGTTGTCTCATTGATAATGATATACCACATCTCAAACAGTGCCTGTCAGTCATAACAAAATATGATGTTGAATATTTATTGTTTTGATTAAATGCTCAGACGTCTAAGTGGGATATTTTGATAAGATCTAACCAACCAAAACAAAAATCAATCTTTAAAGAGAATTTTAACATCATAATTTAATATATTATATATAAGTATAACAATTTAAGTAACATATGAGGACAGCATTTAATATTGTTTAAACTAGTTCACGTCATAATGACATGCACATTTGTACTATTTAGCCTGTTTCAAGCTGATGCCACCAGTGATCACAACTTCATGCTTGACTACTTTATCCAACAATTTTAACCAGATCACTTGTCTATGATCAGTAAACCAGGAAATCAGGTCAAAACCATAATCCGGCATGTAATTTTAAAAGTGCATAATCTCACAAGACTGCGTTCTAAATTTCAATTGATTTTACCTCAATTTCTTGGTAAGTTCTCTTAACCAAATAACATAATAAAATTGAGAATGGAAACGGAGAATTTGTCAAAGAGACATTAACCTGGCCAAAGAGCAGATAACAGCCGAAGGCCACTAATTACAATTACCAATTACCAATGCACATTTGTAATTAAAATTAGTTTCAACCACATGCCACCAGTAATCAAAACTACATAATAAACAAGCTTATCCAAAAACTTTAACCAGATCACTTTTCTATAGTCATTAAAGCAGGAAATCAGGTCAAAACTATAATCCGGCATGTAATTTTAAAACTACCATAGGGAGCAATACACAGTTAGAAGTTTAGTTTCGCATTTTGGCCATGGTGATTTTTTTAAATATTAAAGTTTTTGTACAATAAAATTGATTTTTAGATAGTTGAAGAATGATATAGCCTTCCAAATGGGCGTTTATATGAGCCTCTAGATTGTTTTTAGCATGTTTTATTCGCCATTTTTCTGTTTGACAGTCCGTATTTTCACATCCGTACCGCCCATAGGTCCAGAAATTATTGTAGTGTTTTTCAACAAAGATTTGACCCTCGATCTTTTCGATTCAATTTTATGGAAAAACGAGCAGAAATGCATATGATTTCTTTGACCTCTTGATAGATAAATGTCTATGGTTTCAGGAAAGGTATCACTCTAATGGATTGAAATTCTCCTTTGGACCAAATTTTGGAGACTTTTGTGACATTTTCAACCCCCTTTTCGCAATATTTTGTATCAAATAAATGCAGATTGTTGCCATGGTTACACCAAAAAGAGATTATATTTTACCATTATAACTATTGGAAATCAAATCTATGGAAGATGCTCTTTCCATAAATATACACATGCATAATACAAATATTAAGCCTTATTTGTTAGAAAGGAAGGGAAAGAAGGTGTTTAAAAATTATGAGTGTCAATATTTTTCCTAACTGTGTATTGCTACCTTAACCAAAATATTTAATCTGTTAAGGGACAAACGAAAGGAATAACAAACTGACCCATCGTCAGAAATACTGAATATAAGACGAATACATAGACCAAAAAACATACTGCCCCCTTCTGTTGTAGCAATGTGTGTTAAGGGTTTCCTCTTTAGGAACCATATGGTAGGGCCTCATAAAGTAGCAATACAGTTTCATTTTGCTGAAAGATTTTCACCTTGACCACATGTTATTTTGTCAGAATTGATATTGTATGCAAAATATGGCTAATTAGACAAACTAGCAAAACTAGCGCTAAGTAACGATAAAATTGATCTTAACATGAGTCCTAGTGCAAACGGATTCATTGCAATAACAACAGCATTATATAAGAAAAAGTGGCAAGCTAGATGGGATAACACATGCTTCTTATGGAGCCGTTCGATAAATAAAAAACCTACTTTTTATCAAGGTAATCGATATCATGCAAAAACAATAACTAGACTTAGGTTTGGTACTACTTTACTACCTGGTCAACTAGGACAGTACACCTGTAGGGTATCTCCAATATGCAATACATGCGGCATTAAAGAGGATATAGAACACATACTAGTTACCTGCATTAATCACTCACAAGCCAGACAAAATTTACAATTAAACTTAGTAAAGGTTCAAATACAAAATATTAATACCAAAATATTACTAGATCCTCCTAAAGACAAACACCAATATGTCTGGTCGTGCTTAGTTCAATATTTAACAGAAATTGATTACCATAAATTTATATAAGTAATAAAAAAGGTAATATAGATAAGCTCCTCCAAAATAACCAAACTATACTGCAAGAGTTACCGATTAGTGACTCAGAAATGGATTCAGGTCGTAACCGGCAGTAATAAAACAACTTCTACAAGAATACCAGCAGTACTGAGGAAAACATCGTTAAGAAGACCAACTACACTGCAAGAGTTACCCGGGTTAGTGACTCGGAAATGGAGTCAGGCCGTAACCGGCAGTACAGCAGGATCTTCAAGACAACTAAAAAAAAAAAGAATAAAAAAATAAATAAAATGCTCCGCTGGGCGCAGCTTGATACGACCGCAGAGGACGAACCCTGAACAGTTGGGGCAAGTATGGACACAACATTCATGCTTGAAACAGCACTGAATTTGGATTGTGATTAAATATTTGACACGGCATAGATTTCTGACACAGAATGAGTGTGGTCTAAGAACTTAAAAAAATTTAATTTACCTATTTAAATCATATTATTATTATTTGCTTTTATATATAAATCAGAAATAACCAATTTAAAATGGAAAATTTTAAAGAAAAAAAAAAAGGAAAAAAAAATCCCCCCCCAAATTTTTTGAATCCCCTTATGATTCATCACCCCCAAACTCAATCCCAGCCTTCCCTTTGTGGTATGGTACCTTGCAGTACAATTTCAGAGAGACCCATACACTTGAACACAAGTTATTGTCTGGAAACTAGAAAAATGCTTGTTTTTTGGCCCCTTTTCGGCCCCAAATTCCTAAACGTTTACGGCAATTACCCCAAAACTCAAACCCAGCTTTTCCTTTGTGATATGAAACCTTGTGATACAATTTCATAAAGATCCATACACTTACACACAAGTTATTGTCCTGAAACTAGAAAAATGCTTGTTTTTTGCCCCTTTTTGGCCCTTTATTCCTAAAATTTTGAGACAATTACCCCAAAACTCAATCCCATCCTTCCCTTTGTGGTATGGTACCTTGCAGTACAATTTCAGAGAAATCCATACACTTGAACACAAGTTATTGTCTGGAAACTAGGAAAATGCTTATTTTTGGCCCCTTTTTGGCCCCTTATTCCTAAACGTTTTCGGCAATTACCCCCAAACTCAATTCCAGCTTTTTCCTTGTAATATGGAATCTTGTAGTACAATTTCAGAAAGATCCATACACTTACACACAAGTTATTGTCATGAAACTAGAAAAATGCTTCTTTTTTTTCCCCTTTTTTGGCCCCTTATTCCTAAAATTTTGAGGCCCCTACAATCAATCCAAACATTCTCTTTGTGATATGAAATCTTGTGCATTATTACTATATAACCTATATAACATAGCTGGAATAGCTATGAAAATTTGAAAATCTGAGGTCTATAGAAGGGGGTTCAGATTTCCATAGTAGGGTATTCAATTTTCCATGGCTGAGTAAAAATGATTAAAAATCTGTTTTATCATGTTTTATTCCTACCAAGTACTTATCAATGCATTATTACTGAAGTCTATAGGAGGAGGTCAATTTTCCATTGCTGATTAAAAAAAAATTAAAACATTTCCTAACATGTTTTTTTCCTACCAAGTACTTATAAATGCATTATAACTATATAACATAGCTGGAATAGCTAAGACAATTTAAAAATCCGAGGTCTATAGGGGGGTTTAGTTTTCCATGGTAGGGGGTTCACGTGGCATAGAAGTTAACAACTACAGGTCACCACCGTACGACCTTCTATATTAAATCATAATGAAAGTTACCATTTGATCTTCTTGACATGCATTAACATATAAGATGTCATCTTTTAATGGTGGTGGTCCAACTCTTCCTGCCTTTATTTTAGCTGGTTCTGAAACATAAGGTAAAAGTATGATCAAATATCCTACCATCATGCACAAGTAAAGGGCACTGCCATTTTTGATTGAGGATTTGAAAAAAATTGGAAAAAAATAAGACTTTTCACTCTTTCGCGGACGATCCCGTCTGTAAACGTGATTTCAACATCAATTATTTTATGGCCCAAAATTGTGACCCTTCGTACATGTACTTCATGTACTTTCTTGACAGTATGGAGTCCAATCTTGCAATTCTTAATCCATCATGTCCATATACGGAATCATGTCTATATGTGCTGTTTTGGTACTATGACAACATTAATATCCTTTTGGATGTTAAAATGAAAAAAGAGAAAAAAAAACAGCCAACATCAGGTGTTGGTTGGTAATAAGACTGTAGATATTAGCCTGGGATCCTGGCTCACTGCTCAATTGGATGTTAGAATGATGCATTGTGGGATAGCGTCATTTCTTGACATATGGCTGGAAATATTTTAATTGTCATGAAATTACTGAAAATTATTTTTCATTTCATATGAAATGTAAATTTCGAAAAATTTAGCATATATAGTTCAAACGTTATTGATTGACATCGTAAATTAACAATCAGATGATATATTCCTATTCTATAGAACATGCACATGCGCAATTATTCAGTCCTGTTCAGAGCTGATAGTTGGTCATGTGGATTGTATTACGCCTGGCCCTATTCACGAATTAGATTGGGTCAGGATGCCAGGGTATGTAGATATCTACTATTATCCTAAATGCATCCATTGAAATTCAGATACAAAAGGAGGTATCATTCAAAGATGTAAAAACTAGATCACTGCTAGGCTGTTTTTTTTAGAAATCTGTTAATCTAGACATTTTAGCTTACTAGGTCTGCCATAAAAGTTTACTGAGCAAGACAATGAAGTCACTGATACTTTCAGTCAACATGGATAGGCTTCTGTAACTACAAGGTAATATATTAACAGGTCACAGTTACATCAAAGTACAAAAGAAAAATTGTAAAAATTAATTAATAATATTAATATTATTTTCAGGTTTAAACAAAACAAGAGGCTGTCAGAGTGACAGCAAACCGGATTTCCTGCAGAGGTTGAACCCTGAACAGTTGAGCAAGTATGGACACTACATTTAAGCTTAAAACAGCTCTGAATTTGGATTGTGATTGAATATTTGACACAGCATAGGTTTGTGACCCAAAATGAATGTGGTCAAAGAACTGAAAAATTTGAAATTGGACATTTACCTATTATGGTCCAATATCCAAAATCTATGTACATTGTTAGAATCAGCATATCAAAGAACCCCATATATATTCAATTTATGTTAAAATCAAACACAGTTAAACACAACTTGAAAGCAGGGCCCAAAAATCTAATATTTAAATACAGGTTTAGATTCAGCATTTGAAAGAACCCTATGTATATTACATTTCTGTTGAAATGTTTAATTTTATGCATATAATTTCTGTCAAAGGGAAATAACTCAAACTGAATAGATTATAAACAAATAGTTCTCTAAAATTAGATATGATTTAACCACTATTTTCTTAAATTAGATATGATGTTACACAATGTATATCTATTTTCAAATTATAATCAAATATAATTAATAGTTCAAATTTTTTTTCTTTCATTTATCTCAAACTAATATAGATCTGCAACTTATCTTTCAATGTCAATAACTTTATCTTCACAATGTAATGTAATGAAATATATCCCTTAATAAAAATAGATTATTATCTAATTAAAGGAGTTCACTTCATAAAAAAAAAATTATATATATAGCATTCAGAAAATTAGTTTATACAGAATAACAAAGAAACCTACCACAAAATGTTTCAAACAACAGCCCGCTTGCCTACCTGCCCGCCCACCCTACCACCGTACATCCCCTAATCAATAACTGATTTTTCCCGATGTCATATGGAAATTTGAACCCCCCCCCCCCCCCCCCCTTCTGCATTGAATATTCAAACCCCTTGTTTATTCATTCAAAAAAACTAATTGGAACATAAAATAATGGTAAGTTGTTTTAAAATGCTGTTATAAATTGAAATTTTGATATCTTTTTTTTTTTAGGGGGGAGGGGGGGCGGGGGGGGGGTGGGCGGGGGGGGGCAATTTTCAATAGCTAAGTAAAATTGTTTCAACATCATTTCTAAGATGTTTATTCATATTAAACACTTATGAATGCATTATTACTATATATATAACCTATATAACATAGCTGGAATAGCTATGACAATTGGAAAATCTGATGTCTATAGGAGGGGGTTCAATATTTCATGGAAAAATGAAGAAGAACCACAATGTATATCTTCAACTGCAAGTTTACTATTAAACATGTTTTAATTAATTGTATTGACTTTGCAGATATTCGTAGGAAGCATTTCAATGTCAATAATATGTATGATTTATTTGATAGTGTTTCAATTACAAATATTGTTTCATTCCTAAAAGAAGTTGGAATATATTATAAAATATAAAAATGTTGTATAAAATTTAAATGATTTTAATTTTTATCACGTTATCTTAGCGTTGTATTTTATTTGTATATAAACAATTTTAATTTAGATTTGAGTTATAATATATTGAAGGACATTTTGTCTGATTTTAAAAATATACTTTGAATTTTTAAATATTTGAATTAGCTCTCGTCGCGATATAGCCTTTTGTGCTCAAGCAGCGTAAAGCAAACATCAATCAATCAATCAATCAATTTTCCATGGCTGAGTAAAAATGTTTAAAAATCGTTTTTTATCATGTTTTATTCCTACCAAGTACTTATCAATGCATTTCTGTAATTCAATGTTTACTTATTTTGTGTTATATCTCGTCTCACTATTTCGCATATGTACCACCTTTGATAAGTATTTAGTATGACGATAAATTTTCACTTCTGTACTCTGAACAACAAATTTATTAATGTTGTTAATGTTTACTTCCATACTCCTAACAACAAAATTATTATAATTTTAAATTTACCTGTGTACGTTGTTTTATTTTAAAAAATTTTGTCCCAGGTAAGAGTAGTCTTATTGACACTCTTCTTACATCTTTTTTATTACTACCTGTAATGTCTATGTTATATAGGCACCTACGTTTTAATATTGTAATTATATTGTGTCATAGATCAAACTTATTCCTTCATTGTATGTTTACTTGTTTTTGTTTAAATGTCTTTTTGATCGAGTTAAACAATTTCAATTGATATATTATAGTGTGTCTTTTTATGTTGTAATGTTACACTACTGTAACTATTTTTATGCACCTGTCCTAAGTCAGGAGCCTGTTGTTCAGTGGTTGTCGTTTGTTGGTGTGGTTCATAGGTTTGATTGTTGGTTTTCCTGTTTGAATTGTTTTGAACTAGTCATTTTGGGACCCTTTATAGCTTACTGTTCTGTGTGAGCCAAGGCTCCGTGTTGCAGGCCGTACTTTGACCTATAATTGTTAACTTTTTATAAATTGTGACTTGGATGGAGAGTTGTCTCATTGGCACTCATACCACATCTTCGTATTTATATCTGAAGTCTATAGGAGGGGGTTGAATTTTCCAAGGCTGAGTAAAAAAAAATTAAAACTTTCATGACATGTTTTATTCCTACCAAGTACTTATTAATGCATTATAACTATATAACATAGCTGGAATAGCTAAGACAATTTAAACATCTGAGGTCTATAGAGGAGTTCAGTTTTCCATGGTAGGGTCAGTTCATTTTTCCATCCTGACTATTTTTACATAAATTGTCATCCTGCCTTTTTTTTGCTAAGTTGCTCATGCTGCGTTTTTTTAACTCAAAATCTCCGGTCCTGCTTTTTTTTCAAATTTCATCCTAACCCCCATAAAAATCAAATGGTAGCTCCCTTAGTGCTGTGTAAGATTTATTATTAAGTATAAGCTTTATTTTATATTCATTGCACAAAGGACGTGTTACTTTTTTTTTTTAGTAATTTTGGACATTTTGAATTTAAAAGTCTTTCTGATATTAAAGTACCCTCTACAATGTAGTAGCATACATGTATGTGCTGTTCATTTTCAATTTCACTACTTTTGCAGATTTTACAAGTTCTTTGACACCTGAGCACTTTTAAGTATCTTTCTCTTTCAATGGCAAGGTTACATAATGAGGATCGATCTGATCCTTTTTCTTAAAGCATCAACATAAGCTGCAAGTTCACTCATTTTGTAAACACCCACCATTTAATCCCTTTCTATGGCATGTTCCTTCAGAAAACCATACAGTTTTATAGATCAATATCAGTTGTCTGTGAGCATGGTCAAAATATAACATATAATATGCATATATTTGCAAATTGGAAATACCTGATTTTCAAAAATTCTTTTGAAGTCGCAAATGAGTTAAAACGATTGTCTTTTTAATAAAAATGGATCAAAAACAAATGTAAAATGTTAAGAAACTGGCACGTATTTATACATCTGTATAGTATTTCTAAATTTTCGTCTAGAAGTCTTAATTGGTGGTGGTTTTTCTATAAAACCATCTATACCTTAAAACCTGGCACCAATGTGTATCATTATGTTATCTTTTTGCTTCTGACAATGCATTGAGAAGATCATTACATGGCTGGGGGTGGAAACAATAAATATGGTTTGATTATTACGTGTGATTATGAAGTCGTGCAACTCACGTGATGCAGGAACATATAAATATTTTATACTGAAAAGCCTACCAGATTCATTTCCCGTTAGATATACTGTTCCCAGCGTGATGCAACTTTTTAATCGAAAAGTATTAATACTAAACGAGTACTTTCTTTAAAAAAAGATATCTGATGCATTCAGATGTGACAGAGAAATATATACACCTACAATGATACATGTGTATATATGTCTCTGGATGTGAGCATAGAGTTTTATCTTTTATCATAGTTAACAAAATTGCACACAATTTGACGACAAAAGATTGACGATTTTAAAAGTTGAGGATATGCGCCTTTCTCTTCAAGAATTAAAAAATTTGCTGCATGGTAGTTAACTAA